CGTGGGTGCTCTGGGGCCCCGGGGGGACTGGGGAGACCCAGGGAGGGGGATAGGTGCTCTGGGGCGGCTGGGGAGACCCAGGGAGGGGGCGAGGTGCTCTGGGGCGGCTGGGGAGACCCAGGGAGGGGGCTGGGGCGCCCTCACCTGGGCCCCGCTTGTCCCAGCCGCAGATCATGGTGCCCATGTGGAGCCCCAGCCCCTTGTACTGATACACCATGTTGGCCAGCAGCTTGGAGGCGGCGGCCACGGAGATGCGCTCCTTGTTGCGCAGCTGGTAGATGCGGCACTGCCGGGCTAGCAGCCGCTCCCAGAAGCTGCAGTCGGCGGCGCCGCCCGCCATGGTGCCCAGCAGGTAGGGGTTGATCTCGATCACCTTCTTCACCGTCTGCGAGGCCACGTAGGAGCCGGCCGTGGCCCGCGAGTCCACCGCCACCACCACGCCCTCCTGGAACTAGGGGAGAGGGGGTCACAGGGCACCAAGCTGGGGTACACCCTCCCCAGAGCACGGTACCCCCCACCACCACGCCCTCCTGGAACTAGGGGAGAGGGGGTCACAGGGCACCAAGCTAGGGTACACCCTCCCCAGAGCACGGTACCCCCCACCGCCACTCCCTCCTGGAACTAGGGGAGGGGGGTCACAGGGCACCAAGCTGGGGTACACCCACTGAGCACACTGCCCCTCACTGCCACGCCCTCCTGGAACTAGGGGAGGGGGGGTTACAGGGCACCAGGCTGGGGTACAGCCCCACTGGAGCACAGCACTCCCCCCCAAAGATGGCAGGCCCACTCCTGCACCCTCACTCCACCCCCACACAGACCAGAGACAGCACCCCAGATCACTGCCCCATCCCCCCCTGGGGGGGCAGGGCTGACCCTGACCCCACTGTGCCCCCCAATACGGAGTCCACTGCAGGGGAGGCAGGGCTGCACCATGCCACAGGGGGCGCCCCCTAATCCCCCCCCCCACACAGACACAGTAGAGTCTGTCCCCAGCCCCCTCCTCCTCCTATGGGGGGGGGGGGTATCTCCAGATCTAGCTCCGCCCCTGGGGGGGGCTCTCTCTGCCTAGCCCCGCCCCCTGACCTGGTCGCACCCAAGGAGGGCTCCCTCTCTAGCCCCACCCCTGGGGGTGGGGGGGTCTCCCTCCCTAGTACCACCCCCTGACTTGGCTCCGCCCCTATGGGGGTCTCCCTCCCTCTCCGGCCCCGCCCACCTTGAAGGCCAGCGTGGTGGTCCCGTGCAGCAGCTCGATCCCGGCATCCCCCGCGGCCGGGAGCCCCCAGGCGGGCGGTGCCAAGCCAGGCGGGCCCGGGGCCGGGCGGGGTCCGGGGGCTTGGAGCTCGCAGCGCCCCGCCAGCCCGAAGAAGCCGGGCCGGTTGACGGGCAGCTCCAGCGGCAGCAGGCTGGCCAGCGCCATCTTGGGTGAGGGCAGGATGGGGGCGTGGCCTCGCCCTGTCCTATATGTAAGGCCGGCCGCCATCTTGGGTGAGGGCACAGCGTGACTCGGAGGCGCCGTGACCGCCATATTGGACGGAAGTGTTCTGTGACTTCACCTCCTATCAGATATATGGAGCATAGGCGCCATCTTCGGTGAGGGCACAGCGTGACTCGGCTGCTCCGTGGCCGATAGCCTAGGCGGCCATGTTCGGTGAGGGCAGCGCAGGCGCCGTGAAGGCGAGCTGGCTTCACTATCTATGTCACTCATGGGGTTCGGCGGCGTAAAGCTGTGCGTGGCGGCCATCTTGGAAAAAGGCAAGGCGGCTTCACTACCTGATAAAAGCGGCGGTCCGCCATCTTTTCCGAGGGCAGTGGAGATCATGTGACCGACCCCCTCAGCGGCCATCTTGGTTATGGGCAGCCTCGCTTCGCTCCCATCTAACACATGGGGAGCGGTGGCCATCTTTACTAGGGGCATGACTGGCCCTGGAAAGGGATGGAGCTGGAGCCCCGCGCGCCGCCCCTCCTCTAGCACGTGCAGGTCCTGCCGGGGCAGGTCACCCCTGCGATCAGCGTGCAAGGGCCGGGCAACCTCGGGCTGCCACCCTTCTACCCGGATCCAACCTTGCCCCGCCCCTCCCCCGAGGCCCCGCCCCCCGTCACTCCCTCTCCCCACCCTCACTCGCTCCTCATTTCACAGGGCGGGGGGTGAGGGCTCCAGGCTGGGACCGAGGGGGTGGGAGGGCAGGAGGGGGCTCTGGGGTGAGGCTGGGGATGAGGTTTGGGGTGCAGGAGGGGGATCAGGGCTGGGATGGAGGCATTAGGAGGGCTAGGGCAGGGAGTTGGGGGGCAGAGGGTGAGGGTTCTGGCTGGGGGTGCGGGCTCCAGGGTGGGGCTGGGGATGAGGGGTTTGGGTGCGAGGGGGGGCTCCGGGTTC